TATATCTTCTATATTGTATTTTGTTTTTTGTTTTTTCCTGGACATTCGATCTGGGTTTCTAAGCTGAAATCTTCAGGGAAAGGCTAACAGATCTGATACACAGAAAATTGATTATCGTTTCACTTCCCACAATTGAGTTATTTTACCAGGAATAGCATTTTTTTCTTTTTTTTTGCCTTGTCAGCATCTCAGACCTGGGCTAAATTTTTGCCCTCTTGGGATTTAACAAATAGATCAGTTATAAATGAATACTTGATCTAAGATAATTGCTTAAGCTCTTTTGTTTTACCTTCACCACCAAGACCTGCTAAATTTTACCTGCTTCTGAAACCATGGTTCTTTTTAAAAAAAAAAAAAAAACTTTTAACAAACCTACAGGATAATGCTGGTTCATTTTCTGAAACTGGAAGGAAACTCTTTTCAGTTTTCTTAAACTTCAGTTGTGTGAGCTGACATTTCTTGCATAATTGGGCAAATAAAACCACTGCCTTAGAGATACAAGCACAAATCTCGATGCTTTAGCTTTTAGCAGATTTACTGACTGGCACTAGCAGAGAATAACACTTATTTTCACACTCCCACTGGCTGTTAAAAGGCCATTCCTGAATAGCAAAGAGTTGCAAGCTTTCAGATGGGCGGACTTCAACTCCCAGAATTCTCCAATCAGCAGGCTTTAAGATGGATGGGCTTCGATCCCCCAGAATTCCCCAGCCAACCTGCTGTCTTAAAGTTTCTTAAAATGCCCAAAATGCCATCCAGAAATTGTGGATGCTCCATCACTGGAGGTTTTCAAAAAGAAACTGGACAATCGTTTATCTGAAGTTGTATAGGGTCTCCTACTTGAGCAGGGGGGTTGGGCTAGAAGATCTCTGAGGTCCCCTCCAACTCTATTATTCTCTGTTCTAAAATATCAGAATGCTCCAATTTTTGCAAGAAGTTTAGAATCCTATTGCTGTCGGGAGAAAACTCAGTAATTGAGAGGAGTTCCCTCATGTGGAATTTTTCAGGAAATGAGACAGGTAAAATGTTGTCCCCCTTGTGCCTGGGCTCATTGTTGTCTAATTTTAGACAAATAAAAAAAAAATCTCTCCTGCAAAAGGGACAACAATGCTCTTCAGCATGCAATCCGGTGCCCACTGTGTTCCTGGGTTGTGCTCTCCTTTTTCGCCCTTTCAAGTTTTTCCCAGCTATTTTTTTTTTTAATTAGACCTTTCTTAATTGTTACCCAGCGATGCTTTATTTTTAAAAAAATTATTATTATTATTGTTTGGCAGCTCAGTTGGGTCTCCTTGATTCATTCCTAAAAGGAATTCTACTGTGCCCAATAATGCAAAAAAACAAAAACAAATAATAATAATGCAGCAAAATTTCACAAACTGACTACTTAGAACGCCATAATTGAGTTGCTAAAATCATTCACTGGAAACTGTGGCAAAAGTTTGGATTTGAGTATAGTAACAACTACTGGGAACATCAGGTTGAGAAGGTTCTGGAGAATGAAAAAGTCAAGATCTTGTGGGACTTCAGAATTCAGACGGACAGGCATTTGGCCCACAACACACCTGACATAACAATAGTTGAAAAGAAAAAGGGTTGGTTCACTGAAATTGCAATACCTGGTGATGCACGAATTGTAGACACGCAGCAAGAAAAAAATCACAAAATATTGGGACTTACAAATTGAAGTTGCTGTGTACACTGTCATTTTTTGTGTATAATAATAATAGTCATGCAAAAGGAATACATAATGCAAAAAGAAAAAAGGGGCTGGGAAAATAAAAAGAGGGAAGTTTTTGCCATTGAGCTGCAAATTGGGAGACCAGTGCCTCCCTTCACTAGACGACCCAAACTTCAAAGAGAAGTAATATGGAGAAAAGTCACATTTTGTCTGCCTCAATAAAGTCATTGTAGTATATCGGAGGGGGGCTTTTTTTTGCAATAACCTAATCACAAATAATTTATGCAGCATGAAATTGCCAGAAAGTCCACTGCAGATTTTTTTAAAAAAAGCAGAGAATTTGCTTTGTGCAACTCAAGAGAGATTAATGTTTTTCAGGATATTAATGTACCAGATTACCCAATTAATTAGTAATACAATGGGATGGGATGGGAAAGAACAGAATAGAATAGAATAACAGAATACGAAGGGACCTTGGAGGTCCTCTAATCCAACCCCTGCTTGAGCAAGAGACCCTAGTCCAGGGGTCACCAACCTTTTAGACCTCAGGGACCACCAAACTCATAATTTTAAATCCCTGGGACCACTAACTGGTGCTGTGGGCGTGGCCTAATTTGTGGGTGTGGCTTGGTGGTCATGTGACTGGCTGGGCATGGCTTCTATGTAAATATTATAAATATTTATATAAAGATTGAATTTTTTTATTAAAAAAGAGAGCAACTTTTACCCAAGATCAGGCAAAGCAGGCAGGCACATTGAGTTGCTCACAGAATCATTCAGTGATCTATCTATCTGCCATCAGCTAGCACAGTCTGTCACATGAAATTTGCTTGCTGTGAGTCTGCACTGAATAACAGAACCTTCAGTCCTAAGGGAGGTTCGGCTGTGCTTAAAAGCAGAACCGAAGATCTAAAGACTAACTAGAAAGCAAGAAATCCAGCCATTTCCTGCTTCCTAGCTAATCTAAATCTCCTGGCAGAGCAGAACAGATGATGGTCGGAAAAAGGAAAAATAGCAATTTAGCAGGCAAGTTTGCCAGGTAAGGAGTGAGTGGGCGGGGACGGTTCCTGCGGGCCATGTGGGCGGCGCAGCCTTGTGCTTCTGCACAGCCTGGATTAATTGCCTTGGGGGTGAGATTTCTCTGCGGCCCACCAAAATTTTCTCATGGATCACCAGTGGGCCACGGCCCACCTGTTGGCGACCGCTGCCCTAGACCATTCCAGAAAAAATGGCTTTCCAATATCTTCTTAAAAACCTCCAGCATTGAAGCATTCACAACTTCTGGAGGCAAGTTGCTCCACTCATTAATTCTTCTAACTGTTCTGCAACAGTCATAAGTGTGAAAAACAGCCATAAGGATTTTTTTCCCCAGTGCTGTTCTAACTTCAAACGGTCACTAAACAAATGGTTGTAAGTTAAGGGCTACCTGTAATCACTGAATAAAGGAAAGCACCTCCATGTGGCGTATAATTTTGGGGAAAGTGGAAAAGCTCCTGAAATGAGCATCTGGAGGTCCCTCAAAGCATCTTCCTGAGTTCCTTTCCAATTAAAGTGAACCCAAGCTAAGTTCAGAGTGATTAAATCCAGGGGTGAGGGCTTAATTATAGCGAGCGGCCAGACCTCAATGGCATTTTCCTTATCCCAGTCAATAAATTAACCTTTCATCAAAGGAAGACATTTCTCCCTGGGCTAATTTGAGAGTCTCCACAGAAAATTAATCGTTCAAAATGTCTTCTCTGGCTTGAATACCTGCAGGCAGCTGAGTTGCTAGAATTTCCCAGGTTTGGGGATCCTTTGCTGAGAATCTGAGCTACCTGTGATGGCTAAGAAGGCTAAGTAGGCTGACTTTGATTCACAGGTAGAGAATGATCGATTGATATATCTTCATCAAATGAGGGTTGACCTTCAGCAACCCCATAGATGAAATATTCTCCGTGATGATTGGTCTCTCATCTGGTCCTTCAGATCTTCCAATGGCTCTCCCATCACTAGTGGATGGGAGTCCATCCACCTTGTTGCCGGTCACTCTCTAAAGAGGAGAGGGTTACTCACATTATTGTCGACATCTCTGGAAATTGCACAGCTCTTACTTAGATGGGTAGATGGATAGACAATGGGTGGATGGGTGGGTGGGTGGGTGGACAGAGGGATGGATGGATGGAGGAATGGGTGGGTGGGTGGATGGATGGATGGAGGGATGAATGGTTGGATGGATGGGTGGAGGAATGGAAGGATGGATGGGTGGATGGATGGGTGGAGGAATGGGTGGGTGGGTGGAGGGATGGAGGGATGAATGGTTGGATGGATGGGTGGAGGAATGGAAGGATGGAAGGATGGGTGGGTGGATGGAGGGAGGGATGGTTGGTTGGATGGATGGATGGATGGAGGGATGAATGGTTGGAAGGATGGAGGGATGTATGTGTGTGTGTGTGTGTGTGTGTGTGTGAATATGATATTCTTTTTTCTCTTTTGTTTTTGTTTCTTTTCCTTTCTTCTGTTTTTACTTGAATTAGTGACCTATAAAGATGATACAGCTTTGTTTGTTAACGTTAATTAAGAACTGTGAATTCATACAGTTAACGTGGGAAAAAAAACTGCCAAATTCCATGTGTATATATGGTACTTAGTGTACTGCCAAGAAAACGATATTGAAAGTTGTCAGTGTAATTTCTATTACAGAAACTTTTGTAAAGCTTTTTAACGTTTTGTTCTTTGTAAACTTTTTAATATTTTGAACTTTAATAAAGTATTTTTAAAAAAATTAAAAATAAAATAAAGTAAAACACAGTCGCTAAACGAACGGTTACAAGTCGAGGAATAGCCGCATAAGGGAGAGGGGATGCAAGTCGGCAGCTGTTCCTTCCCTGGCAATTTTTTTTCCATTTGCTAGAGGAACGATCGTTGGCCGAAACCAACCCTGGGTTTCTGGACAGCCTGTCTTAAAGCAGAAAGCGGCAAATTGGACTGTCCTTTCCTCCCCGTCTGACCGATGGGAAGCTTTTTCACACAACCTCAACCGCCCATTAATCCTGACAGGCAGCATGTGTGGACTTCCCCAATGCCGAACCACTCCGGTCTAATTAGCCAATTTCCAGCCCTCTATAATTAATGCACATTTTGTACTCAAAGTCGAATAAGCAGCTCTCTTCAAAGGCAGCGCGATGGATCAAAAGCAAGAACCAGGGGGATGAAAGCAACAGGGGCTCGGCCATCAGCAAGCTGAGTTTTGTATTTTGGAGGGGTTGGTTTTTGTGTGTGTGTGTTTTGGGGGGGTTGCGCCCACTCTTTCTTAAAACTGCGTTGGCGACTTGTGCCTCTCCAGGTTTTTCAGAGGCGCGAGGACGGCTCCGTGAATTTCTTCCGCGGCTGGGAAGCTTACAAAGATGGATTTGGAAAACTGACGGGAGAACACTGGCTGGGTATGTATGTCCATGGCTGGGGAATATGGGACAGGGAATTCTAGTCCCTAGAGCTGGCTAGGTGACTTTTGAGCCAAGCATGAGGAGAAGGTGAGTTCTAGTTCCACCTTAGGCATGAAAGACAGCTGGGTGATTTTGGACCAATTGCCAGGAGACATGAATTCTAGTCCCACCTTAGGTAAGAAAGCCAGCTGAGTGAATGGATCACCAGGAGACAAGAGAGTTCTAGTCCCACCTTAGATACCAAAGCCAGCTGGTTGGTTTTGGACCAATAGGCAGGAGATGATGAGTTGTAGTCCCACCGTAGGTCTTAAATTCAGATGGATGGCTTTGAGCCAATTACTAGGAGACAGTGACTTCTAGTCCCACTTTAGTCATGAAAGCCAGTTCGGTGGCTTTGGGCCAATCTACAGGAGACTGGGAGTTGTAGTCCCTCCTTAAGCATGAAACCCAGCTGGGTGACTTTGGGCCGTTCGTTCACTCTCAGCCCAGTCCACCTTGCAGGGTTGTGGGGAAAATAGGAAGAGAAAGGAGTCTTTGGTATGTTCACTGCCTTGAGTTATTTGTAAGAATAATCAAGGTGAGATACAAATAATATACATGTAAGATAACGCCAATCCTTGATAAGCCAACAAGCAGCCAATAATGGTCCAAAAGAACCTTGCCACCCGTTTGACTAGGAGCAGGAATGTCTATTTTGCTTCAATTATAGCTGCAAGACTCCCAGCCTCAAATTCATGTAAACATCCAATCTGGGCTGGGAGGGACCCTAGAGGTCTTTTAGTCTAACCCTCTGCTCAAGGCAGGAGTCCTTGCTACCCACGGCCAGGAAGGGGAGGAGGAGAAACGGAAAGCTGATGATTTTCTTCCTCTTTTCTGGACAAGGTCTGAAGCGAATACATGCTCTGAGCACGCAAGGAACCTATGAATTGCGCATCGACCTGGAAGATTTTGATAACGGCACAGCCTATGCCCATTACGGGACTTTTGCCGTCGGCCTCTTCTCCGTGGACCCGGAGGAAGATGGCTACCCCATCACTGTCACTGACTATTCTGGAACAGCAGGTGGGTCTCCTTTCTAAAGATGTACCTTTCTTCTTTTTTATGGGATCCTTGATGCTCTCTGAGCTTGGTTGTTTTCTGGCAGACATTTCATTACCCAGCTAGGTAATGTCATCAGTGCTAGAAGAGAGTGGAGGGAGGGCGGGGGGGGGGGAGGGGGGGGGGGGGGGGGGGGGGGGGGGGGGGGGGGGGGGGGGGGGGAGGAGGAGGAGGAGGAGGAGGAGGAGGAAGAAGAGGAAGAGGAGGAAGACGACGACTGTGGGGTCATTGGTGCTCTCTGAGTTTAGTAGTTCAGTTGTTTCCTTGAAGACATTTCTTCACCCAGCTAGGTAACGTCATCAGTGCTAGTAAAGATTTCATGACAGCACTAGGATGCAATACACCCAACCTAATCAAATACACTAAGACTGAAGTACCCAAAATCATGGGCTTTCAGTTTGATGGACAAAACGTAGCACTGATGCTGTTACCCAGTTGGGTCATGAAATGTCTTGAAGAAAACTAAACGAACTCAGAGAGCACCCAAGACCCCACACAATAATCCTCCTCCTCCCCTCACACACCTCACTCCCTCTAGAACTGATGCTGTTACCTAGTTGGGTCATGAAACATGGACAATGAAAACATCGAGTTCCGAGAGCACGAAGGATGATACTAGGCTGGCAGTTACTTGTTTCACTACCGTTGTAACTTCAAACTAAACACAAAGTTATAAGTGGAGGACTACCTGTATATGTTTTAATAATTGCCCAGAAGTTGTTTTTGTAATTTTTTTCACATTATCATTTCAATGGAAGAAAGGAAGGGGGGGAAAAAAACCGGTTTCTCCCTGTTTAGAATTTTGAAAGGAAACTGGCCTGCCACAGTAGCAAATTTCCACTTCAAACACCCATTCAGAAATGTAAATTTCATGTCAGAAATCAATATTTCATTCCAAGGTAAAGAATGCTTCAGACGGAATATCCACTTTGCAAATGTGTGTTTGGAAGCCATCCGTCAGTGGGCTGATGTGGAAATAAGCATTTCTGGTTTTCTGATAGGGCAAAACGCAACAGGTTGTTTGTTTTTATCTCCGCTGCCCTTATGGAATCCAACCAGCCAACCATTCCTCGGCTCACAATTCTGCTCACTCCCTTAAGTCTTCCCTAAACCTGTTTTTTTACAGAATAACAGAATGACCGAGTTGGAAAAGGACCCTGGAGAGGTCCTCTAGCTCAACCCCGTGCCCGAGCAGACTATTAAGACTGTTAAGACAGAGAATAATCTAACGCGTAGTTTGATATTGTCCCCTTCCTTCAGCTTCCGTCTGACAGATTGGTAGCTTGTAAAAGACTCCCATTGGAGGGGGGGAAAAAAGCTTCCCCAAGTCAAGAACTCACCATCTGGATTCCTTGAAGTTGGGAGGTTGAACATGAGGTGATTGGTGGGACTCCCGTTGTCCCATTGGTGTCCTCCAAAGCTCCAGTGAAGGAAGTGGTGGTCTTTCCTTCCCTGGAATTATTTCCTGGGATATATTTTTTTTTATTGGAATCCCGCAACCTTGAATTCAGGAGAAATTTCCTGACAGTGGATGGGGTTGCCTTCAGAAGTTATGGATGCTCCGTCAATGGTGTCTCTGGAGATTCTCTGAAGCCAGAAGAAGCTTCTTGGATGAGCAAAGGAAAAGCACCTTTGGGACCTTCATCCCTGGAGGTTTCCAAGAAGAGACCGGACAGCCATTTGTCCAGGATGGATATAGGTTCTCCCAGTTGAACAGGGGGTTGGACTAGAAGACCTCCGAGATCCCTTCCAACTCTGTTATTCTGTATTCTATTCTTTGGATGCAGCTGGGTTCTTTCTCAGAAGATGGTTGGGTTGCCATCTGTTCAGCCTTCAACAGAAGGTAGACTAGATGACCCCCAGTGTTCCCTTCCAAGTTTCCATGATGGGATGGAATTATGGCTCCTTCCCAAGACGGGATATGTGAAGGGATTCAACGTCACTCAGAACGAATCTTGTGGAATGGTGGAATGTAACGTTCTAGCATAAATTGTAATTTGATGATGGAACCAGGTCTCACAAGGGGTTGATGGGTCTCCATGGTGGATGTTCCTCCAAGGTGAGGTTGGAGACCTCCTCACTGAGGGAGAATGTCCTCAGTAGCTTCTTCTACAGTCCCATGAAACTTCATTCTGACTTATCTTGCCAACTTATAATCTGCTTTCTCCCCTTCTAGGCGATTCTTTCTTGAAACACAACGGCATGAGGTTCACCACCAAAGACCTGGACAATGACCACTCAGAGAACAACTGCGCTGCCTTCTACCATGGTGCTTGGTGGTATCGCAACTGCCACACGTCCAACCTGAACGGTCAATACCTCAAGGGCCACCACAGCTCCTATGCAGACGGAATCGAGTGGTCTTCCTGGACAGGTTGGCAATATTCGCTCAAATTCACCGAAATGAAGATCCGGCCAGTCAGAGATGAAAAATAGCTGAAGCCCTCCGTGTTCTTCCTTTCTTCCTTCCTCATCTTACCCTGTGGTTTGTTTGTTTTTTCCCTGGGTCAGGAGGAACACAGAAGCTGAGACATTCCCTTGCCACCTCTTACACTTGACAGTGTCAAAATGTTCTCTTTGTGTGCTCAACGGAGTTTTGGAGAAGACATTCATCGTAGACCTCTCTTTGATGCCAGACAAGCATTCTTGTAAATCTGTTTTCTTCTCTACACTCGAAAGGACAGACCTGTGGGGGGAAAAACCCCATATCTCCTCACTTCACTCTTGATGGGTCTAATCCTATGCCTCCCCTACCAATTCAAGATGTTATTTTAAGAGAGGGCCTTTGCTCTTTTGAGAAGTTAGCCTTGGTTCAAGAGCTTCTTCCCAAGGACCTCCATTTTTTTAAAAAAATGCCCTAATTATTTTTACGGAGAGCCACACATTAATTATTCAGCCAAGGTGAGCTCCAAGGAAGGCTGCTCAAAAAGGAAGCAAGGATTTAACTGGTAAAAAGAATGAGTCATAGGAGATGCTCAGGGTGAAAGCTATAATGGGGTAGGAAACAAATTGCATGGATGGAGATAGAAGGTAAATTTATCATTGGATGGAAATTGGTTTAGTGTCCTCAACGGTACTGAATATAGAAATGTTGTTGGTGCTAGAAAGCTAGTTTAGTACTGGGCCAACGATGAGAAAAATGTATTTTCCATTTTGGTGAATCAACCAAGAGAATCCAGCCAAAATGTGATGACCCAGGGTGAGATACAAAATAAACACTGTCACAAAAACAGGTGAAGCCCTTTTTATTCCTTCACTTTGCTTCCAAGCTCCAAATATCCTTGATTGGAGACAAAAAACTCCCACACAAGCAGTTACAAGAAGGAGGAAATGCCGTTTAAATTATAAAGAGTAAAAAACAACACCAACCAGGCAAGATAAGGGCTGGAGGATGTCCACAGATAACAGAACACACACTGAGAAGGACGCCAAACTCAGAGAGGAACCATAAACTAGAGATATTTCCATGCTTTGTTTCCAGCACTTGCCTGTACGCATGTCCGTCCTCTTATTCAGTTGTCACAGCTGCAGCCCATGAAGAGGATCCAAGGCCCTCTTCTGCTGAGTAGACCACATCTCTCCCTTATCCTCTCCTCCCTGCGTGCCCTAGGATGGAGAAGGGATGGGTCTGGGTCCTCCTCTGACTGCACAGCCGGCCTCTGCCCTTTCCCAGCCTCTCCACAACCTCCGGAGCCACACCTCTACACCCTGTCGGCTGTTCCTCCTGTTCCTCAGAGTCAGTCTCCACCTGGGGCATGACACACAAGATCTACAGGACTGATCCTGAAGTTTTCCATAACCCACTTCGATCTAGTGTAAGTTGTGGGTTATTTTGTAGACTCTCTTGGGGTTGAAGAAGATGGGAACAATGACAGTGAGCAGAAATCCTGGAGACGAAGGAAAATATTTGTAGCTTGTGGTTGAATTGAGGGGGATCCTGGAAACATGGAAATTAAAGTGTCTTTTTAAAATAAATGTATATACAGGTAGTCCTTAACTCAGAACCATTCACAACAGTTGCAGAAGCCCAGGGACCAGAATTTATTTTGTTAAGCATGGCAATGTTTTACGGTAAGTGTCTGTCGGGATACTGCAATGGTTGTAAGTGTGAGGACCGGTTATAAGCGTGAGGACCGGTTGTAAGTAAGTCCCTTTTTCAGTGCTATTGTAACCTCAAACTGTCACTAACAAACGGTTGTAAACTTAAAAGCAGAATGTTTAATGGGATTTGAAAGGGAACTAACTATAAGATACGTAGGCGACACACTCTAAACGGTGATTATAGGGGAAACCTTGTTTTGTAATATTTGAAATGTGGAGGAATTTTTTGGGAAATGATATAAGAATATGTAGTGAAATTGTAAATGGGACAGATAAGAGTATAATGAAATAGATCTGGAAATGAGAAAACTATAAAATAAGCCCAAGGGAGGTATTTGAGTAAAAATAGAGAATATATAAAGTAGTGATACGATAAGAAACTGAATGTGAAAAATGAATATGTAACTGAAATTACATCTGTATGGAGATGTGAAAACCTGGAACCATGTTGTTCACTAAAAAAAGATGTTCTATTTTTCTTTCTGTTTTATGAAAACCCAACTAAAATTGTTTAAAAAAACAACAAATGGTTATAAACTCAAGAGCTACCTGTATACTGTTTGATTTTATATACTTTTATTAGAACATGCATTTTGGGGGGTAAATATTGTCTTGGTTTTGACCTCGAATTTTCCTTTGTAAAGCCAAGTTATAAAGAGAAACAATTAAAATGGTTTATCCTTATGGTAAATTTGTCAGATTCATTCCTTTTTTTCTTTTTCTTTTTGGCGTCTGTTCCTGGTGTACCGGGGACCCCACCTCCACCCTTCTGTTGCCTTGAAAAACCTGCAGTTAGAGAGCAGAGAATAAGGTTTTCCTCCCCACCGTTTGAAAATGCAGATTCATGGCAAGGAGTGACTCCTGGAAAAAAGAAATTAATTCTCCTGAGATATTTAGATTACGAGAGAGAGGGAGAGAGAATTCTCTCCAAGGAACCGAAGCTGCTGGTTGGTGAGTGGAAGTAACCAAGATGCTCAGGCCAGAAGTGCTTGTAAGCTGGTTTGTTCGGCTCAAAAAATGAAGACATGCCAGTCTCCCATTGCTAGTTCAGAATTAAAATGCAACTATTTTGGTATCTTTCAAGCCAAGAGACATTTCCCCATCTTGGTTTTAAATCCAAGACGTGAACGCATTGAGATGAGAGGTTGGTCGGAGTTAAATGGGTTTGCTGGTTTTCTCCTAGGGGAAAATACCTCACATAGATTCCTATACAGGCACTCCTTGACTTACAACCATTCGTTTAGTGACCGTTTGAAGCTATAACCACACTGGGGAAAAATATAACTTGCAAGCGTCCTCACACTTATGACCATCGTAGCATCCCCGTGTCATGTGATTAAATTCAGGCGCTTGGCAATTAGCATGTATTTACAGCCGATGATGCCACGTCCTGGGTTCACATGACTGCCCTCTGTGACCTTCCCAGCCAGCTTCTGACATGCAAAGTCACTGCAGTAAAAGGACCCACAACTCTCATCCGATAATAAGGAGCGCACTATTTTTGAACCTCGGCAATCCTAAGATGTCTTGTCACTACAAGAGGCATAGCACTGTCCCAAAACAACACCATTCAGAGAGTCTCACAACAGGTCAATAATTTCCCATCTATATTTTGAGATTCTACCTAACTAATTAGTATCTTTCTAGTACCAATTATGTAAACATCAGCATGGCAAAACCTTACTGAAGCTTAATGGGATTTTGGCTCTTTAATTAAAAGCTTCTGTTTTAAAACACTCATTAAGAAGCTGCCCCTTTCCAAAAGCTTAGTTTATCCCAAAATGAGGACGATGGTTTGCCCCAAACCCTGAAGACTACATCACTTCCTTCAGCAGTCCTAGTTTTACTTGTAAATCAAGGGTTTAGGTGTGCTTAAAGAGGGTTTGGAGGGAACAAGATCAGGGTTTTTAATTCACACGTGAAATAAATAAGATCGACGGGCGAAAGCAATCAAGATAATTCCCGTGCTTTTCTCCCCTTCTCCTGCCGAACTTACGTGAGTCTAATCAGGTTGTCATTTTGCACAGTATCCCAACCGTTCATTATGGTATCTTAGGCTCTGGAATGTGTACAGCAATAAGCACAATAAAGGGAAAGGTGAGAACTAATGAGGTGTCTTATTTAAAGGCAGACAAGCGGGGATATTCAGACCCCATCTGCCAAACCATCAGAGAAGGTCTTAGAATCCAGAGGAAACAAAAATGTAAGTAATTCAACCATCTTTAATCTACACTCCATTCCATTCTATCCCTCCCTCGCTCCGTCCTTCCGTTTCTCCATCCATCCATCCATCCATTGTTCCATCCATCCATCCAATACTTTCTAACCTTATTGTAGTTTGAGAATACTTGTAGCTCAGGTTTGAAACGAGGGGTCCTTGATGCTCTCTGAGCTTGGCTGTTTCCTTGCACACCTTTCATT